CCTCCCACCCCCACCCTCTGCCCTCGTGTTTCTGCCTCACCTCGGTCCTAAGAACAACAGAGCACACTGACCATGAACTAAAACCTCTGAACCATGAGCCAAAATAAACTTTTCCTCCTTTAGGTTGTTACTGTCAGGCACTTGTTTACTGGGACAAAAAGCTCAGTAATATAATGTCCTTCATATAAAAATTATATTTTAACAAGGTGTAGTGGTACATACCTGTAATACCAGAAATCTGAGAAGCTGGGGCAAGAGGCTCATAGGTTTTGAGCCCAGCCTGAACAAATTAGTGACTTAGCAAGATTCTCCCTCAAGATACAAGATAAAAAAGGGCCAGGGCCAGGGATTTAGCTCAGTGGCATGGCCACCTGACTCATAAGCACAAGGTCCTGAATTTGATCCCCAGTACTATAAAAAAAACAAACAAATAAATAAATAAATAGAAATAAAAAGGGATATATAGCTCAGAGCAAAAACCCTGGTTTAACACACAGTCTCACCAAAAAAGAAAAAAAAAGGTATACTTTGGCAGCAAGCAAAACTTTGCCTCTTCTGTCAAATCAGCTACTTATTTCCATAGACAGTATCAGCCAAGGTTCTTTCTGACCAGACCACCAGCATCTCAGAGTGAAATCTTGCCTCCCTGGCATCAAGCACTATTATATTAATTTCTATCATTGTTTCCCAGCACTTCCCACTCCCTCCAGCTGTCTCGTTCTTTTCTATTTGTCCTTTTTAAAAATAAGCCTTTTGTATTCATTTTTGTTTTTCATTGCAAATCCACTGCAAGTCTCATTTTGAAAAACAGACTAAGATATAAAGCAAATAGTCAGGTTCAGGAGGGCAGAGCCAATCCTAGAACCTGAGGTCACCCTGGTTATCACTCCCTGGACACAGGAATCTTCAAGCTCTCCCTGTCATACAGCAGGGTCAAGCACTCTCCTCACTGGCTTTCCCAAGGACTGTACCTCAGAACTCACATATGCAGAGCCCCAAGGACCCGCTCCCTAGGAAACAGAAATCCCCCAGTATGCAGGCTAACAGCCATCTATGCCTGCCTTTCCATGGATTCCATATCTGGGCTTTTGGCTGCCTAGTCAGGGTACAGGGAGCAGGCCCATTTCCCCCAGTGCTGTAGAAGGGAAAGGAAAGAGTAGGAAGGAGCAGTCAACCCCATGCCCTACACACAGTGCTAGGAGCAACAGTGACAACAGTAATGACAGCAGTTACCATGCATTGTGCCCACCGCTGTAGCAGGTATTCCATATGGGCCATCGCCGCTGCCTACCCCAGCAGTATCCATTTGTGTTATCTGGGAAGTATATACAGCTCAGAGCCCACTCTCTTTCTTGCTTTTGTTTACAAGAAAAGCTCTCTCTGACAGCCTCGGTTATCAGCCATCCCTGCCTTGTCTCACCTAGGGGACTGGGGACTGTGAAGGTCACAGGGGAGAGAGGGGGCGCCCACTCACATACATGAACAGTGCATGAAAATGCATGAGAGTGACCACCATCTAGAAGGGCACCTTGGGAACAAGCAGAGATGCAAAAGCATCTGCCTAACGCACCCATTCCAAGTCTTCTCTGGCTGCTCCAGGCCCTCCTCAGCAGGGATGCTGAGTGACCTTCACACACACTGGCTCTTTTGTTGTTGTTTTTGGAAAACAAATGCTTCCTTCCAAGACTCCCCTCCCAGTTAATATCTGTGTTCAGGACTCCACGTCCCTGGACACATTACGGTGGATTTGTGCAGATTCGAGATCTCAACTTCGTGATTTCCTCCCCAACTTCCCAGTCTCTCCAGATCCTGCTGGATTATGATCCAAGCCCCCACCTCAGCCCATGCCACTGCTCATTCTTCCTCCACACCTCCACGCCCCTCTAGCAGGGGCTCTCTGCAAACGCAGTTGATTCTCATTCCACTTCCCAACCCCATTAAAGATGGAAAATGCCACGGGCCTGACACTGGCCTTCCACAGATTGCCCGGCCTCACCCTCCCCTCACCTTGCTCCTTTCTCCATGCAGGAGCAAGGGTTCACCCCCGCCCACCCTTGGGATCAGAGTGTCAGACTAAGTTTTATGCATACACCCTACCCAACACACCACATTGTGTCCTCCTCATCTGCTGGTAACACCCCTGTGAGGCCAAGTGCAAGCCGTTGCACTGCACACACACACACACACAGAGAGGAACGGGGCCATGTGGCTGAGTCGGGGACAGATGCCAGCACAGTCCACCTGTGTCAAATGAGGGACTCAGAAACACTAAGGGAAAGTGCTTTCTGTTCTCTCAGCTGCCTGAAGGAGGACATGGCTCCCTAACCCACCCCGTGAAAGTCAAAAGGATCCCCACAGGCTCCAGCCCCTGCTCTGTGGCCTGGGTCTGTGCACTTTTCCTGTCGCCCCTGGGGAGCGGGCCTCTCACAGGCTGCACAGCAGGAGCTGTCAGTGCTGGCTGCCTCTGTGGCCAGGAAGGAAGTTGACAGGGATTAGGAACTGAGAATACATAAAAACTATGAGAAAACAGACACAGTAACAAATCTCTGCATTTCCACGGCACTCTTTAGGAAGTAGATTCTTACAACCACCTTCTTTGAAAACAGGGCGGGAATTATTACACCCAAGACACAGATGAGGAAACAACTCTGAAACAGGAAGTGACATCCTCAAATCACACAGTTAATCAGTGCAGACTCAAGGCTAGAAGTGTTCTGAGGAAGGAAACCAGAGATGGGCCCTTCGTAATATGTCTTTGCCCAAGTCAGCGCTCTACAAATTCAAGAACAGGTCCTGCCTGTGCCACCAATGGTAAATTTTAAGTATCCCTGAGCCTTGTGAGCAGCTCTGTCATTCATACAAAACTAAAACACACTCTAAAGGTCTGAGTCCATGAAAGGACAAAGCAGAGACCAGAGGGACTAGAGTCGGGAAGGACTTGGGGACTAGGCCTGGGAACCACAAGGCAACAGAGAAACCGGAAGCATGAGCATTGGCACAAAGAACACAGAGGGAGGCTACAGGGAGGAGAAGAGAGAGAGAAAGGAGGAAGGAAAGCGTGAGCCTGAAGAAAGGCTGGGGAGGAAAGTAAGAGGAAAAATAGGCAATGAACTGTTGGGGGAGCAGAAGGTCACACATTTCTTCTATGCTTCTAGATTTCCCACTAAAAGAATCACCTGAGAGGGAGAAAGCTTTGGCAGGAGAAATGCACTCACCTTCTTTCCAAGGATCAGCCAGCAGAAGTTAAAACAGAAAACAAGACACAAGCAGAATGAGGTTAAGGGAGCATTAGATGTTCAGATCAACCAAAGAGAACAGAGATGAATATATCGGCATTAGAAGAAAGAAAAAAAGAGAAAGAGAAGTGAAAGCATTGGTTAGGACCCCACTAGAGGAGGTCAGAAGTCTCCATCCAAGGCTGAAGTTGGCTCGTGCAGCCAGAAGACTGGGAGAGTACCCACTGCTGATGTGGAGCGGAGGTCAGAACAAAGATGGCGCCACACATGAGGGCAGTGGGATTGGGAGTGAGAGCACTAAAGCTAGGAGATGGAGACATCACACTGCAGCTGGAAGACAAAAGATCAGTGTGGTCCTCGTGGACATTTCTGCTGCACAGCTCCCCCAGATTTACTGCTTTTTGTTGGCAAATATTCATACCTGGGTTTGTTCATTTGGTCCATCTTAACAAATTTGTAAGAACAGAACCTACAGATTCTATTCTTCTTAAGTAGGGGATTCATGGTAGCTTAGTCACATGCTCATATCTGATGAGTGACTTTTGATGGAGACCATAGATCTGGTGGCAGTAAAGGTGGGATTAGAGTGGCCAACAATGCAAATCAAAATGGAGTCCACACTGCCCATTCTGAGGGTGGTGACGAGAAAGCAGGGGTGACTGTGGCCGTGCAGGAGGAACCACTGTGAAGCTCTTTTAATGGGGGGTGGGGGGATCACAGAGGTGGTAGTTAGAATAATGGAGATGATCTCTCCAGAGGTAAGTCACCAGCTGTGAAGCACTACAGAGGTGTGTGTGTGTGTGTGTGTGAGAGAGAGAGAGAAAGAGAGAGAGAGAGAGAGAGAGACAGAGAGACAGAGAGAGACAGAGAGACAGAGGAGGACTCACTCACACAGTGCCTTCTGCCATGGACCCTCCTTAAAAGCCACCTCAGATAAGTCAAAGTCAATCACCACCTCTCTCCCTAAAATGCCTGCTAAAGAATGGGGACTGCCCACACACTCTCTTTCTCTTTGGAGTTATTTGCTGGATTTTGCTGTCTAAGGAGACACATCACATATACATATAACTGTATACAACTTCTAATGGAAAACTACATGAATACCAGCTAAATTGCATGGTTGTCAGTCCAGATGTGCATGAGAACTTCATGGGGATTATTAATTCAGCCTGGTGATGCCAGAACCTCATCCCATACCAACCAAATGAGTCAGAATCTCAGGTGGGACACTGGAGTAGATGCTCTGGAAATACATCCCATATGATGTCCTCCCCTCACTGGGTTAAGAACTTCTGTTCTATGGAGAACTAAGCAAAACCCCCATCATACAACACATACTGGGAGAGTTGGCACCAGGATAGGCATCTCCCAGCCATGTTTGGTGCCATTTTCTCTGTACATAGCTGACCCATCAGTGTGGCTTGCTGTCTGCTATCTTTGCTCTATTCTCTCTGGAGAAATGACTGGCATTGTTGGCACCCCAAGAAGAGCAGGAAGAAAGTGTAGCAGACAAGTGAAGAGGCTGGACCAGGCAGTGTGAGGTTTTTTTAGTGATCCCAGCACAGGCAGAGATCTGAGGTGGAAGAATCTCTCCCCACCCACTCCCCCTGCCCTCCCACCTCATGGCCACATACTTTGGATCCCCAGGGAGGTGACTGTTATTTCATTTCCACAAAACCCACATACCACTTGGTCCTATTCTCAAAATATTTGCATCCATCACACCCTTGGGAGGCCCAGAGCCCAGAAGAAACATGGTCATACTTTCTTGGTGGGAACTTTGATCTTCAAGAATTCTGCCTCTCTGGCCAGCACCTGCCACGGGGCGTGTATCCGGACAAAGATGGATCCCTGGCTTTTACTCTGCAAGGTACAAAGAAAGAAGAAATGGAAGCATTCATGAAGACATAGTTTAAATTCCCAGGTCCCCAGCTCTGGAACTTGTTGTTCCTTCCATTTCTAGATTTTGTTTCCTTTCAACTTCACTAAGACCCTGTTCCCACCCATACCCAATCTATTCATCCTGTTCTAGAAATTGTGTCATTTAAAACCATAATTTAGTGTTCCCAAAATGTGGTCTCTGAAAGCTTGATGGCTTCAGAGGGGTTAAAATAATTTTGTTCACAGATTTGAAGCTAAGCAAGTATGATTTTCAAAAAATCTCTCCATAATTGTAACACCAATTGGTTAAGTGACCAGTGCTAGCCTGAAGTCTGTCTTCATCTGTGTGTTTTTACTGCTCATGGTTCAAGTTTGTATTTTCACTTAACTATTGCCTTGGGTAGCAGTTCCAAATCACAAAAGTGGCTCTCCCAAGCCTGAGAGTAGCGATATAAATAAACAGCAAACAGCACTATCCAGATAATGTTATAAACATAAATGGTGCCCCAGGAGCCAGTGTGAACACAGAACATTAGTCTTGTCCCAGGAAAAGTGAGGTGTTATATGTTGATGAAGAGAAGGTGAGAAAGAAAGGCAAGGACGTGGGGTGATAAGTATTGGAAATGTAGGCTTTACTACCTCAGCACTCCTTTTGGACTTGGTGGTCATATCTGTTATAAACATTTGACAGATTGCAATAGGGATTCATTCTCATTTTTAATAAAATTTCAGTTTTTTCTGAGCAAATACACACAGGAAAAAAATTAATTTCTTGTATTAACATGATCAGTTGTGCTGTTGAAGGATGAAAGCACACTGAGAGCAAACAGGGATCACTTTTAGGGAGGTACTTCCTAAGCTGCCTAGAAAATGAACCACAGTTATTGTGTTCAGAGACAGGACAGAACCAGCTGACTATGCATTCCTTCGTCAGGTGACATTTGGGAAACACACAGCATCTGCACAGTACAGCAGAGGTGGCTGGTGTGCTGGCCAGTAGGCTATTGGCATTCAGCAAAGCCACTGAGGGACAGAGGCTGACTCTGTGGCACACGTGCCGTACAGAGAGGAGGCCTAGGTGGCCTCTAGTTCTGTGTGCTTTAGCAGAAGTGAGGGCTCCTGAGCAAACATGTGCTTTGTGAGGCAGGATGCCTGGAGGTCAGTGCCCAGAAGCAGGTGCTCCTTTTGAAAACCAGTCTCTGGCTCCATTCACAGAATCCACTTTTGTTCAGTACTAATAGCACCCTCCAATCTGGGTGAGTGGAAGATAGCAGTGGAAACCATCCTGAGCTCTGACTGTGCCTCTCCAGGGTGCCTAGCAGAGAACAGATGTACAATGCTGTTTCCACCTGAAAAACACTGGCTAGGAGGGGACATACATTTCTATTATTGACTATTTCTATTATTTTTAAATGGTAGCTCCAAAATATATAATCAATAATTAAAATATCTAGAATGGGCCAGGGATTTGGTTCAGTACTTCTGCCACCTGCCTCGCAAGCACAAGGTCCCAAGTTGGATCCCTGGCAACACAAAAAAAAAAAAAAAAAAAAAAAAAAAA